GGAAAGAAGGCTCAGAGCCAGAGGACTGGTGGTGGGACGACCATGAGTGGTCAGAAGGAGAGGACTGGGAGGAGGAGGTGATGCCGGAAGCTGAAGAGGTCACAGGGCTTAGTGAGCAGGGAGTCTGTGGCAGAGAGCAGTCCAGAATCAGAGTCAGAAGCAGAAGCAGGAGAGGAGGGAGGTCCAGAGGCAGAGATGAGTCAGGCTGGTGAAGAAACCAGCTCCCTTTCCTCCTGGTCTCCCAGAACCAGAAGTGGTATGAAGAGGGAGATGGGCACGGCGGCAGAGTCTCAGATTGCTTCGGAAGGACCTGGGAGAGAAGGAGACAGGCAATTGTGGAAATGCCTCACAGGGGCAAAGTCTACTGGGATTAGTTGCTGTGCTAACAAGGCCTGTCCTCCCGAGTCGACCTAGTTTTCTTGAATAAAGAGTTAACTTCACTGATGCCATGTAATTTATTGCTGACCGTTTTCCTGACACCCACTCCTGACAAGCACTGGAGGAGGGTGCAGAGCTTGGGAAGAGGGGATGTGCCCTGGGGATAGTGCCCAGAGCCAGACCAGAGTGGTGGAGGGTCCCCTTCACCCCCGTTCTGAGGTTCCCCAGCCCTGCCTCAGGACATGCAAGCCCTCAGGTTTTGTTTGCGGGCTTCCCCTGTGCCTGGCTGGCCATTTTGCATGCTGGACTAGATAGGCTTTTGATCCGACTCAGCAGGGCTTTTTTGTGTTCTTATTTCCTCCCCTATTCCTCCTCCCCAAAATGATGTCGCTCAGAACTATGAAGATGCAGGCAGCTCGGCGCTGAAATCACAAGAGGCTTGCAGGATGTTGCTGGCAGTAGCAGATATCTGTGTCACAGCTGCTAACAATGAGATAACCTTCCCTGCCTGCCTCTCCCTTCTGAGCACCTTCTTTGAACTTGCCCCCTTGGCTTGCTGGACCCGGAAGACCCTTGGCTCCACTTTCAGTTAGTGGCCAATCTTTCACCCTCAAAAAACCCCGCAGCAGCAGAAACAGACCCTGAAAACCAAGGAGAGGAGAACCACCATGTTCTTATCCTCCCTCTGCAAAGAAAGCCGAAGAAAGCTACTAAAAAATTTACCGTTCTGCTGCTGGGGGATGTTGGAAGGAGGCGCACAGAGCCTGTGGGGAGCGAGAGGCCTACGAAGCACAAAAGAAGCATTTAATTATGTATCTCTTCAAACAATTCCCTCTTTCATTTTCTGATGTTGGTCAAAGAAAGGGGAAAGGAGACACAGGCATGGTGAAGTGAACTCCAGCAGTTTTGAAATAAATAAATATCAAAGTAAAACAAAATTAAACCTCTGTTACGGCTGACCTTGTACTAATCACTTCTCTAGCAGTGCTCCTTACCTGTGAACTAGGATTGTCAGTAGGCTGTCTTTTATTAGTTTTCTTTGAAGCTTTTGTGGTGGTGGTGGTTGGGTTGCAATGGTTGTTGATATACTACCTTTTCTTCCAAGGAGCTCAAGGTTCTTGGTTCTTCTCCTCTCCATTTCATCCTCAACAACCCTGTGAGGTAGGAAAGGCTACGAAATGGTGGCTGGCCCAAGGTCACCCAATGAGCTCCATGGCTGAGGGTGGATTTGAATCCAGGTACAACACTCTAATCGTTATGCCACACTGGCTCAGAGTCTTAGAACTGCGTATGTAGATTTTTACTTGTATATGCAGCTCAGTGGGCTGTGGGGAATACAGTGAGGGTCCTGAACCCCTGGCCCACCTGGCAGCAAGTCAAGTCGAAAGTTCAAAGTCCAGGGATCAAGCCACACAAACAAAGTCCAAAGTCCAGGATCAATCCAAGTAGCAAAGTCTGAAGTCCAGCAGTCAGGATACAGCCCAGAGTCAATCAAACCCAAAGGAGCATTCAAGTCAAGGTCCATCAACTTGGGCAGCTGAGCAGACACAGCACCTGAGCTCTGCTTCCCTTTTGTATTTTTCATGCAGATTGCAGGCATGTGGAGCTCACCTGTTCTGAGCCCAATCCGGCTGAGGAATCACACCCCTCCTCCCAGAGCTAGTGAGCCCCACCTGGCCAGCTAGGGAGCTGGGCTGTGGGCCCTTGGCTGCCTCAGCCTTCTGGAGCACATTGCCCGCTGCTCCCTACGCCTCGGAGCCAGTCATGTTTGTGGAGCCAGGGGTCTCTTTGGCCCTGGGAATGGGTCCTGCTGCTCTGGATCCTGCGAATTGACCTCCATGCCCTCGCCATCCCAGCTCTCTGCGAATATTTCCTTCCCCATCCCCAGCTTGCCCCAGTGTGTCCCATACCCCTTGCCGGGATCTTCTTCCTCCTGCCAGTTCACGACACACAACAGGAAATTCACTCTGCTCCACCTGACTCGTATCACTTGTATCTGACTGGTGGGTGAGCTTCTGGGTTCTTAAGGAAAACAAACTAGATTCCGCAAGCCGTAGAGCGCAGGTGGGCAGACAGGCTTGTGTGCTGTACTTAGCTTTTTACTACAACCCCCCAGATCCATCAATCATAGCCTCGTGCAAAAGGGGAACTAAAGAATTCTGAGCCCAGAAGTGAACTGAGCTCCTAGTCGTTCCACACAAAAATCCACTCCTGGTTATTCCGAGTTTCCTTCATTTCAGCAATATAATTATGGCAGGTTGGGGCAGAGAATCATTTTGCTGTTCTACTATGAACCATAAGGAGTCTGAAATCCTTGTCCATCTACTACAGATCACCCAGAGATCTACCTGGTGGGTCCTGAGCTGGTAGAGGATTTGTGGGCATGTTCTACTCTAGAGCATCCTCTTGGTCTCTTGGGTCCCACCTTTGTCTCCTGCCGAAAGAACCGCTTGCCAGTATCTGGCACTCCTGAGACAATCTTAGGCTGGTAGCAACTGGGGAAATTGCCCTATGGTGCCAACCTGACCTTGGAACACTCTCCCTCAAGGTTCCCTTCTGAGGAGCTTCAGATGTCAAGCCAAGACCATTTTACTTGTCCAGGCTATTAATGATTGTCTTTCACAGCCGGTTGAGGTCTTCTGTGTTATTTTTATCGTCGTTTAACTGCTGCTTTTGTCTTATCGTTTTGTGGTCTGGATTCCTTTTTTGGGATGGGAGGATGTCATTTAAATAATTCATGCTTAAAACAAAAATAATGTGTGTGTGTTTCTGCAAGCCACCTAGAGAATCTTTAATTGTGAGGTGGGATGAGATATCTATCTATCTATCTATCTATCTATCTATCTATCTATCTATCTAGTATGATCTGAGAACATGGTCCAGATAACACACCCCTGCAACTTATTATTGCCTGGGTAGTGATGGGGGAAGGGTGCCATCTTTTAGGGAAGCTTCTTCCAAGAACACTGACAAAGAGCTATACCCAACTCAGTTTTACTCAAGGGCAGTCACTGAACTAAATGGACCTACGTTTGTCATGTCCATTCATTTTAGCGTGTCGGCTCTGGGTGTGACTAGCATTAGATGCAGCCAAGGGGAGCGGGGGGGGGGGGCAAGGAGGAGCCTCACATGACAGGCTCCTCACGGTGGGCAGCCTTCCCATGCATTGTCCAGAAACACCTGAAGGAAAAAACTAGAACACAGCCCTTCTGGGAAGAAGCCGAGCTGAACTCCGTAGGTGTCAGGAAGGATGGAGAAGGCACTAGTGCAGGGCTATGAAGTCTTGATCAAGCCTTGGGAGGCATTGCTCCTACAGAAGCATCATTCAGGACCCCCTCGGCCATGAAGCTCCCTAGGTGATCTTGGGCCAATCTATCTCAAAGGATTCTTGCGAGGATAAAATAGAAAGGGAGAGGGCACAGGGACTAGGCATGCTGTTTAAGCTTCTTGCGAGTGAGATGGGATATACAGTGGTGCCCCACAAGAGGAATGCCTCGCAAGACGGAAAACCCGCTAGACGAAAGGGTTTTCCGTTTTGGAGGTGCTTCGCAAAACGAATTTCCTATGGGCTTGCTTCGCAAGACGAAAATGTCTTGCGAGTTCCTGCAGGTTTTTTTTCCTCCCCCCCCCTTTTCCCCAAGCCGCTAAGCCGCTTATCAGCTGATCCGCTAAGCCGCTTAACAGCTGATCCGCTAAGCCGCTTATCAGCTGATCCGCTAAGCCCGCTAAGCAGCTGATCCGCTAAGCAGCTGATCCGCTAAGCCGCTTAACAGCTGATCACTAAGCCGTTTAACAGCTGATCCGCTAAGCCGCTTATCAGCTGATCCACTAAGCCGCTAATAGCGATAATCCGCTAATGGGCTTGCTTCGCAAGACAAAAAAACCGCAAGACGAAGAGACTCGCGGAACGGATTCTTTTCGTCTTGCGAGGCACCACTGTACGTGTCATAAAAAATAAGCATAGACTCATAAGGGGACCCAACGGTCATTTAGTCCAACCCTCTGTAAGGCTACCCACAGCTGTCCCTAAGTGGGCTCAAACCACCAACCTTCTGGTTAACAGCCAGACGCATTTACCCATTGCACCTCCTCAATGGAACAACAGTTTTTCTTATCCTTTGCCAGGATCTATTGGAATCGTTAACCGTGAAACCAAGATTTCCTTCGGCCCTCCTGCTATGGCTAGAGAGCCAGTGTGGTGTAATGGTTAAGAGCGGTAGTCTCGTAATCTGGGGAACCGGGTTCGCGTCTCCGCTCCTCCACATGCAGCTGCTGGGTGACCTTGGGCCAGTCACACTTCTCTGAAGTCTCTCAGCCCCACTCACCTCACAGAGTGTTTGTTGTGGGGGAGGAAGGGAAAGGAGAATGTTAGCTGCTTTGAGACTCCTGAAGGGGAGTGAAAGGCGGGATATCAAATCCAAACTCTTCTTCTTCTTCTACTGCAAGGGATCGCTTGCTTTCTGGACCTCTGCAACTCCCCAGTGCTACAAAGGATTACGCCCAGCCTGGCCCTTTGTGACTTACGCCCCTACAACATGGATCACTCAAGCTCCCTAGTGACAGGGGTGGAAGAGACACAGAAGACCAAACACTTTAAAAAACACTCCCCATATACACACAGAGAGATTCCGATCCACGGTCTTTATTCCGCTCCCTAATAAATAAGCCCCAGCACCTCTGTGGAACCTTGAACACAAAGGATCGTTAACACTGAACACAGCTACAAAACTGGGGGGGGGAGCCCCCTCGCCACAACCTTGGTGAGGGGGGAGAAGGGAGAAAGGGGGAGGTCATCAGAAACCTGGGCCTTCCAAGGTCTTGAGTCGGGAGTGGAGAACATAGGGCTGGCAGACACACACCCCTCCCCAGGAGGGGGTGGATTTCAAGATGAGAAACCCCCTCAGGCAGTATCTGAAGGGCACCTGGGGCCCTGACTGGCAGTGCAACCTCATTTTAAAGTGACAGTACGGCTAGGCCTTGGCAAAGCCCATTTGTTGCCTGGGAGACGGGCCTAGGAGGAATCGGGCAAAGGAGTCCTGGAGTCTAGGAGCGTGTTGCTGTCCACATGGGAGTAAAAATAAATAAAAATAAAACCCAGGAGCCCCGACTCTGTGGCCACTGTGCTGCACTCATTCAGACTGCCCTACTCTCAAGAAAATAAAAAAAAATAAAAGGTGAGTTTGGCATTTTCGTTGCGGTAAATAACGGATTAGGGCAGCTGGCGCAGCAGAAACCTCCCAAAGCCAGAAAGCTTTCGGCATAGACTGGGGTACTCCCGGACTCGCTGCCCACCCCCACACCAGTGATGGAAATGCACAAATGGGATCAGTGGTGGGTTTGACCCAGCTGCTTCCCCAGCTGCCTTTGGCTCCCTTGCCTGGGCATGCTCTTAAGTCAGGGATGGGGAACCTGTGGGCCTCCAGATATTGTTAGACTCCAGCTCCCATCAGCCCCAGCCACCATGGCCAGCAGTCAGAGATGAAGGGTGCTGTAGTCCATCAACATCTGGAGGGCCATCCCTGCTCTAGGTTAACTCTCACGTGGGCAAGGGGCACAGAACCCCCTCAAGGGTCTCAGAAGCTCTCCAACTTCTGTAAATCAGATTTCTGGCCACATAATGTTCAGGGCCATGCCTACCCTTTCCCCCTTCTGTCAGAGGTAATGTTGTCGAGAAGATCCCTTTAATAAAACAATCGGGCTCGCCAAAGGATGGAAACAGGAGGAGAGGGAGCAAGGAAGGATTCAATACGGACTCTTGGTTTCCCATCTCTCAACCACTTGTGTGTGTGAGAGAGAAGGAAATCACAGATCGATTGCCCTCAACATGGAGGAGGAAAGCGGGTCCTTGCTGTCCCAGCTGTTGGGTGAAATCTCAACACAAGAGATACAGGCACCGCCACCTGTCCACTAAAGTTCCCAGTCACACACACTCCGAACAACAGCTGGAAAGAAGGTAGAGAAAGGATGCTGGAGCAGCAGAAGTCAAAAGCTCTCTGGGGTCCTGTGAGGAATATAAATAGCACTTAAAGGGGGAGGGGATAAAATGAAGTCACTGCAGAGACCCTCAGAGAGAAGAAGAGAGAAGGAAGATGCTCCGGGAGAAAGATCCCCGAAGCAGGAAAGTGGTGGCGGTGGAATCCATCCCTGCGAGTGGCACTCTTGAGGCTAAGGTCCAGCTGTTGGTCTGGCGAGGAGTGGAATGTCGTCCCCTCGGTCGCACGCCGGCCACGGGAGGTGGGTGCCACCGACCCAGCAGCAGTTTCGGAGCAACATCCTTGGGAGAGAGGGAGCGCTGGGGGTTTCACTCCGGCTCCAAGGGGGGCTCAGCCACCGTGATGCCCTGGTGCAGCTTCTCAAGGGAGATTTTCATCTGGAGGAAAGAGGACAGCGTTAGCCCGCCCTGGAGGCAGTCGAGTAAGGAGCGGTCGTTATTAGCAAAGAGGCCCAGGAGCGGTTTTATTCTCAAGGCCTGTGGTAGCCGCAGGGTCTCTTTCCCAAACCCCATCTGTTGTGGTGCAAACAACAGCTTCAAACAGAGGGATTTCAATTGGGAAAATGGCTTGCGGGAGGCAAAGTTTAGGAAACCAAGTCTGTCTCAGCACCATGATTCAAATCCTACCCCCTTCACCTCACATCTCCTTAAGGCTGGAGGGGGAAGAGAAACACAGAGAAACTCTGGGGTTTGTGAAGACTGAGAAAAGGAAGCCCAACACAAATATTCCTACATTAGCACTGAAAAGGACTCAGTCCTTTGTGCATCCCAATGCAATCATGTGCAAAGGGTTTGTGTTTTTCAAATGCTCCAAGCATGCAGAAAACACCACTGCCAGAGATTCCCCTGCTGTCTCCAAGGCCCCCAAACACTACCCAGGGCAGGAGAAGGGGAGCTGGTGGCACAGATCCATCTGCCAACCAAAGAAGTGACTAGGACTAGATACCCCCCAACATCCTCCGTGGAAAAATTGTGCTATTGCCATTAACTTCCACTGGGTAGGGCTGCCTTGGATCAAACTGTGGGATGTAACATCACTGAAGCAGTCGAACACAACATTTCCTGTTTGCCCAGACTGGACACACAGGGGAATGTTGCTCCAGCCAGGAGGACTTCCTGTTGCACCCGGTCTAGAGCATCCTCCCCCTGTGTGTGACCAGGTAGATGGGCGTCACCCTAGCAGACTCTACAGAAGGGCTGGTCAAGCAGCCACCTTCCCTTTTTCGCCTTTTATCAATCTTGCTTTTTGCTGTCTGCTAGCTCTCAGCCAGCAGCGCTTGGGCTCATCCCTCACAGAGGATGAACCCACACTTTTCTCTGTAACTGTAACTACCAAATATAGCCTGCCTTCAGGACCATACTGTGAACTGAACGTAAGTAAACCTTATCATTACTTTTAAAGGAAGACTGTTGTGTCATTATTGTTTTTAAGAGGGAAACTAAAGGGGATTTAGGGACGCGGGTGGCGCTGTGGGTTCAACCACAGAGCCTAGGACTTGTAGATCAGAAGTTTGGTGGTTCGAATCCCTGCAACAGGGTGAGCTCCCGTTGCTCAGTCCCAGCTCCTGCCAACCTAGCAGTTCGAAAGCATGTCAAAGTGCAAGTAGATAAATAGGTACTGCTCCGGCGGGAAGGTAAACGGCGTTTCCGTGCGCTGCTCTGGTTCGCCAGAAGCGGCTTAGTCATGCTGGCCACATGACCCGGAAGCTGTACACCGGCTCCCTCGGCCAATAAAGCGAGATGAGCGCTGCAACCCCAGAGTCAGTTACAACTGGACCTAATGATCAGGGGTCCCTTTACCTTTACCTAAAGGGGATTTACCAGGAACAATCCAATCTGGACAAGCCAGACTGGATTGCTTAACTCAAATGATTCTCACGAATCCATCAACTAGCTTCCAGCAATGTACAAGGGAATGTGCTCTGCTACTAGCTCACTAGCGTGAGTGAGGAAGGATAAAATTTAATCAATATACCCTCCCCTACTATTCACAACATTCCCACACAAACAAGGGTGTTCACATTAGCTCCCCATTAGCGCCCTCGCGACACCCCAAGCTGCAGACCTCACCTCATCTAGAAGCTCCACAGAGGCCTTGAGGATCTGCTTCCACTTCTGAACCTCCACACTGTGAAACCGCTTCTGCAGCTCCAGGATCTCGGCCCATTCAGATGCCGTCTGTGGTAGCTTTCTGCCAGGGAGGAGAGAGAGAGTGTGTGTACTCTTAGCTGCGATCGACAGGGAAATGTCTTCAAAGCCCCCCTCATCTCCATGCCTTATGTGCTCCTCCACAATGCTATTGCTCCTACCCCACAGACCAGTTCCACAAGGCCTCTGTATTCTTAAATGCAGCCCACTTTCCCCTCTCACCTCCTTTCTAACCAAATATTGCCAACGCATTTAACAATTTTAACAAACCATGGGGCCCAAATCCATTGTTTCAGATCATAAAGGTAAGGAAAGGGCGCGTTCCCTGGTTCCTTACCCACTGGAGAGCGCATAGGCCTGCCATGATTCAAAGGTCCGGGCTGTGTGCTCCAGAGACCAGAGCCTGTAGAACAGCATCATGTTCAGGATAACCAAGACCACAAGGCTGGAGAGAGAAAGAGAGAGAGAAATGGCTTGGAAGGAGAAGGGACCACTCGGGCCAAGCTCTTGCCAAAGCAGCCAACCCGTGCCTGGTTCGAACCACTTCAGCCTCTACATTTAAAAGACAAACAAGTAGAAATTTATAATGTCAAAGAGAAGCATTATCAGCCAGCTTCTCCCTGACATGCTACTCTTCTACATGAAGGGATCTATCTACTTGTCTATAGAACATATATATTCAACTATGGGCTCATCCACTTCCTCTTGTCCCACTCCCCCCCCCGGGAAAACAGCTCTTTAGCGCTCAGTCGAAGCAAAAATGATGTTTGCCCTGATTTAACACTAAAGGGTGGATTTCCCCATGGAAAGGAGCGGGGCATGAGGAAAACCGCTCGGATCCATGCCTAGAAAGTGTGAGTCAAGCAGGGCAAGTGGAAGTGTGGATGAGCCCCTGTGTTTTACTCAAGAGTGGACCACTGAAACCAATGGACCTAGCCTAGCCATGTTCATTGATTCTGATGAGTTTGTTCTGGGAAGGTCTAGCATCAGAAACAGCTCGGTGGGCGGTATCCAACAAAGCAGTTCCGCGAGCGCAAGGGCTTCTGGCTGCACAGTGGAACTTCCCATCGTCCTCCTCTCCAGGAGCATGCCCTAAATCTATTCTCATTTCCCCCAATCCTCCAGAGCATATCTGGGGAAGATGCAGGGGGTGCAATAGAGGAAGTTCTGCTGTGCAAATAGAAATCCTTGAGCTAACAGAACTACCGTCAGAGGCAGCCAACAAAGTACCCTCCAGATGCCATCAGCCCAATCCAGCTTGGTTAATGTTCAGCGGTGATGGGCGTTAGAATATCCTGGGGGGTGGGCACCATGTTGGCATTCAGCCAGGTGACACACACACCCTCAAAACAGGTTTTCCACTTCAGTCAGAGGTTTTCTATGCCATAGAAAACACCCCTGGCCTGTGGGTCCCCCTGTCTAGTTATTATTGACTTACAAGGTGTTAGGAGCAAGGGGGAAGTCTTGCTCCTTCTATCAGGTCAGGCTATTTGTCCATCTGGCCTAAAATTGTCTGTGGACTGGCAAGGTCTCAAACAGAGACTTTTCACATCGCCTGCTACTTTTTGCTTGCAATAGCACAGGCGGAACCCGGGAACTTCACTGAGCATGTGTTTTGTAAAGCTCATGTGCTCTGCCATGGAATTATAGCTCTTCTCCATGTGTTTTAACTTTCTGGAGCTATCCATGCATGTATCAGGCGCTTCTGGCTCGACCACAGAGCTATGGCCCCTCCCCAGCTCCTTCAGCCTTTTTGCAAACAAGAGGACCCGAGTTCAGGCCCTGCAATATTGCTCAGTTACATTTGGCTCTAAGAAAGAACGCACAACCCTTTGCAGCTTCCCCGCTCAGAGCATTAAAAATACAAGGCATGAGTGCCTATTAGTGTATGCTACGCTGAGTGGATGATGCCAGCATCTGACATCTCTCTTTGGGAAATCAATAGCATGTAGCTCATTAGAGCGCAGTATTTAAAGAAAGTAAATGCAGGGATTCAACACAGATGCTGGTGAGGGTGGCTGAGACAGAGCATGGGTCTGCGCCATTTAGCTTAAGTGGTAGCCAGCATTCTCCCCCTCCCCCCCCCTTGTTAGGAAAACAGCCCCATGCGATAAGAGACAATAGTCTGTGATGATCCCTCCAGGTTAGTTTTTAAGTGATCAAGTGGAGGCTGCAGCGATAATATCGAAAACGTACAGATCATGTTGCAAATGCACTATGTGAACTCAGCCTGAGCTGAAGGACAGCAATATACAACAAGACTTGATCCCTGTGTAATCTATGCTTTTGCACATTTTTTTTATATTGGTTGCAAAAATCAGCCTGCCAGTAGTCTTCTTTCTCTTTTGATTGCTTTCTTTTGCATTCTCTTTGTTCGATTTTATTTCTTTTGCATTATCTCTCACTTTCTTACTTTCTCTCTTACATTCTCTCTTTCACATTCTTTCGCACTTTCTTTCTCTTTTGCTTTCTCTTTCACATTTGCTTGCATTATCGCCTTCTCTCTTTCGCATTTTTCTCTTTCAGATTTCTTTCTTTTGCATTCTCTCTTTCACATCCTTTTTCTTTTGCAGCCTCTCTTTCTTTCTCCCTCTTTCACATCCTTCCCCCCTCACATTTTCTTGTTCGTTCTCTCTCTCTCTCTCTCTCTCTCTCTCTCGTAAAATCCCTGGCTCACAGATTAAGCTTTGATCATGTGAAGGCAGAGATGGGGGTGGGGGTGGGGTGAGGGGTCAGAAGCCACAAGGAAGAGAGAAGAGAGGGGCTAAGCAGGCCACCCAGCTGTCGGGGGACACAACTTTGGTGTGTCACGAAGCACTTTGTTCCTTGCCATAACTGCCAGGCACAGGCAAAGAGAAGGAAGCAGTATGCAACTTCATATAACTTAGCCAGGGTAAAGAACTCAGGCTATCTGTCTATGGATCATTATTTTCCTTTTGCTTTGCTTTTAATTCAGATAAAAGCCCTGAGTACAAGACAACCGGTAAGGGGGGAAAGGGCAAGCAGGGAGAAAGTGGAGGACAAAAGGAATGGAGGAAGGAATGCACAGACGAGTGGAAGATGACAAACAGGCTCAGGGACAGGGAGCCAGAGGAGATGGTTGTGGCTGCAGGGAGGAGCATGGCAAAGAGCATAAGCGGGGAGGTGGTGGGGTGTTATCTGCCAGCATCCAAGGCAAGGGATGGTGTTTGTGAGTCAACAGCAGGGTCAGTGCAGGAAGGGGTTCAGGTTGGGGGCAAGGTCCAAAGGCGGCCCGAGGCAGAAGCACAGTTGGGGGAGTGAGACTGGCATACGATACCTCACACAGATCCTGTGCGGAGGCAGAGGTGGAAGAAGGAAAGAAAGAGACGTGTGACGCTTTGCTCGTGCTTTCGGACCAGAAAAAAACACACCAAAAAAAGCAGGGGATCCTATCCTAAGTCTCTCCCCACCCCCACACCAAATGCTCACCATTACTATTAAACAAGCAAGGCCGCTGACCCTGCTCTTGTGTCTTTCTCATAGCAGAACAACACACAGAAGTGGGAGGGCGAGGTTTAAGAGACGCAGGAAGATCATGTGCCGATCTCATCCAGTACTGGCTGCTCATAAGAGGCTGCCACTCTCTGGGGTCCCAGGCATAGTGTCTTTCTGAAGCCCCAGGGGCCAATCTGCATGCAAAGTGTTTGTTCCGCCCCTGAACCAGGGCCCTGCCCCTTACCCAGCACAAAGAGAGAAAGTGGTGAGCGAAAACCTTCGTTTTGTGCACTTTGCGGCATCAGGCTGGATGTGCACGATGCACTAAACATGGCAACCGTGGGTTGTGGGCTGGTGCTGACCTTTAAAGCCCTAAACGGCCTCGGCCCAGTATACCTCAAGGAGCATCTCCACCCCCATTGTTCAGCCCAGACACTGAGGTCCAGCTCTGAGGGCCTTCTCAGTAGTGGTGCCCTCCCATCAGATTCCAAACAGAAAAAGCTACACAACGTTCCGAAGGCATCTGAAGGCAGCCCTGTATCAGGAAGTTTTAATTGTTTGATGTTTTACTGTGGCTTTATAATTTGTTGGAAACAATGCAGTCATATGGGCGGCATGCTGCTGCTGCTGCTGCTGCTGCTACTACTACTACTACTACTACTATTATTATTATTATTATTATTATTATTATTATTATTACAGCGGAACCTCAGTTTTCGTGCGTCTCAGAAGCCGAACGTTTCAGTTTTCAAATGCCAAAAACCCGGAAGTGAATGCTTTCATTTTTGAACGCACTTCAGAAGTCAAACGGCTTCCAAGGCATGTTTCTCCATTTCCTCCATTGAACTCGCCTTGGTTGTCGAATGTTTCAGAAGTTGGTCTTCCAAAACGGATTACGTTTGACAACCGAGGTTCCACTGTATATTATTATTATTATTATTATTATTATTATTATTATTATTATTATTATTATTTCCTATGCTTGTCCTACTTAAAAACAGGTTGTGCTCTTACTTTGCTTCCCAATCCCGCTCACGTCTACACTGTGCATTTAAAGCATTCTTATGCCACATCAGCAGTCATGACTCCCCACCCCACCCCCACCAGCTTCCTAGCTGGTTGACAGTGCTGGGAATCGTAGCCTTGCAAGGGGTCTCCTAACAGTTCTCAGCACACTGAAACTACAGTTCCCAGGACCTTGCGGGGTCAAGACTATTAAAGTGGTCCTAGGGCACTTTCAGGTATGGTGTGCGGGTTCTTTGCTAGGAGATGAGCCCCACTGAACACAGTGGGACTCACCTCTGAGTAAATGTGCCTGGGGCCGCGTCAGCTCCTAAGAGGCTCTAGATCCCACCCCAATCCCCGGCTCCCCGTTTCCCAAGCCAGCAGCTGCCTTACACCAAGCTGATGATGAGAATCACGGTGGAGACGGTCTGGCCTTGGCTTTGTTCCGACAGCTGCTCCGAGAGCCGAGAGGTCAGGCTGCCTGCAGGGAAGGAGAAGGCCCGCAGGTCAAGGGCTGTTGCAAGCATCGTGCCCTGCGGATCCAGGGAGACAGCCCAGTGCGGAAGGGAAGGGGACAGGCTGGACCCCGGTGCGAGGGGGGCCTACCTGAGGGACGGATGGTGCGGGCTGCCCCCTCACCGTCAGGCAACGTGGGGAGTGGGGGCTCAACGTGGGGGGCTCTCCAGCTCAGGGTGCGCTTCCGGCGGCGCAGACCGGACAGGAGCCCCCGCGGCTCCTTGCCATGGCAGCTCTCTTCCAGCAGGGCCTTCTCTGCCTGCACCAGCGCCAGCCCTGCAACAGAGGGAGCGGGAGGGGAGGCTGAAAGCTCCATAGCAGTCTCCCAGGGGAGGCTGGTCCGGCCCTGCCAACCTCTGTCAGCCCTCTGCCAACCCTCCACCTGCCTGCCTTTTTAACTACAGGGCCTTCTCGGTAGTGGCACCTGCCTTGCAGAACACCTTCCCATCAGATGTCAAGGAGATAAATAGCTATACAACTTTTAGAAGACAACTGAAGGCAGCCCTCTATAGGGACGTTTTAACCATTTGATGTTTTATGTTTTCATATCTGTTGGAAACCACCCAGAGTGGCTGGGGCAACCCAGTCAGATGGACAGGGTGTAACAGCAAAAACAACAACAACAATCAGCCCAGGGCCCTGGCTGTCAGGTCCCTTCTCCTTAGTCTCAGTTTTGCCTTTGTAGGATTCAGCAAGGAGGAGGGGGACAAAACTAGCATTAGCTATCTCTGCCTGTCATTGACTCTGGTGCCACCTACTGTTGGGCTCCCTGCCTCCTACCCTACCAGTCCCAATGAGCACCAGCTACCACTGCTTTCTCCTCCAGAGCATGAATCCCCCCCCCACATGCCCACAGATAAAGCAACCCAGACCCAGGGCCACTGAAACCATGGGGCGCTATGATCCCTCACACGGGACAAAGCATGGGGCAATCTCAGCCCCTGAGGCCCCTGGCGGCGCTGCTCTGTGCTCAGGTTTCTGGAGTGCAGCTCTGCCCTTTTGCTTCCCATACCCAAGTGCTGAAAGTATTCTTCCACGCCGCTCCAGGCGTTTTTCTCAATGAGCGTTTTCACCAGGTTCCATGGCTGCTTCCGGTACCGGATCTCAGAGGACACTCTGCAATAAAGGAAATAAAAGCTTCTGATGAAGCGGCCTGTGAAAGCTCACTCCACAGACTCTATGGAAGTATTCAAGCAGAGGCTAGACGGCCATCTGCCGGGGATGCTGTTATTATATTCTTTGTTGGACTGAACAGGGGGGGTTAGACTACTCTGAGGTTCCCTCCAACTCTGTGACCGTATGGTTCCATGATAAACGCTCCAATGGCAGGGATGGGAAACCTGTAGCCTTTCAGGTGTTGCCCCGCCAGACTCAGCTGGCATGATCAAAGTACAGTGGTACCTTGGGTTACATATGCTTCGGGTTACATACGCTTCAGGTTACAGACTCCGCTAACCCAGAAATAGTGCTTCAGGTTAAGAACTTTGATTCAGGGTAAGAACAGAAATCGGGCTCCGGCGGCAGTGGTGCTTCAGGTTAAGAACAGTTTCAGGTTAAGAACAGACCTCCGGAACGAATTAAGTACTTAACCCGAGGTACCACTGTACAGTGGTACCTTGGTTCTCGGACTTAATCTGTTCCGGAAGTCTGTTCCAAAACCAAGGCGCGCTTTCCCATAGAAAGTAATGCAAAATGGATTAATCCCTTCCAGACTTTTAAAAACAAACCCTAAAACAGCAATTTAACATGAATTTTACTATCTAACAAGACCATTTCTGGGTTAGGGTTAATTTTAGGATTGGGTTAGTGTTAGGGTAAGGATTAGAATTAGGGTTAGGGTCAGTGTTGTTTTATGTTTTCTTGTGGTCTTGATTCATTTGCAGTTGGTTCGCTTTTTTTCAATTTGTTGTGTTGCTGCTTTTTCATGAGTTGCAAGTTTGTTGGCTTTGTGGTTTTCTGGATAGTTTCAGTTTTAATTTTGAATGCCAGCTGGGGAGCACAAAGCCTCAGCTTCCCAGCTGAGAGATCCCCCGCCTCGCTCCTGCTTGCACAGGAGTCGGAGCTGGATCGGGGCTGCTCACCTGGAAAGGTGCAGCTCTGTCACACTTTTCCACTGAGGGGTGCATGGCTGTGTTCACCTCAGTAGAGAAGTTTAAAAGAGCATCGCCTGGCAATGCGAAGACAGCCTGACAGCTGCCTCAGCAGCAGTTTAGGGGCTCTCAGATGTAGCTGCCGGGCTGCCTCCACCTTTGCCATCCCAGCAACTATTCCGCCTGGCTGCCTTCACGTGGTGCAGGGCTTCTGATGCTGAGGTGGGGGCTCCTAAACTTCTCCCTTGAGGGGAGAAGTTTAAAGGAGCCCCCAGCTGCGAACCCCTCAATGGCAAGTGTGATGGTGCCTGCACCTCCCCAGCTGAGCAGCCCCGATCCAGCTCCTACTCCTGTGCAAGCAGGAGCACTCAAAACAGAAGTGTGGCACTGAAAAAGGAAGTGTAATACTCAAAACAGAACAGTTCAGATTCCGGAAAAAGTTCGCAAACTCAAACACCTACTTCCGGGTTTGTGGTGTTCGAATTCCAAGTTGTTCATAAACTAAGCTGTTTGAAAACTGAGGTACCACTGTACTGTTTTGGGGGGACAGGGGGCGGGCAGGTGTGGGGGACTCCCTGGTCCTGCATGGGGTAACTGTGCCCCTGAAGGACCAGGTGCGCAGCCTGGGAGTCATTTTGGACTCACAGCTGTCCATGGAGGCACAGGTCAAATCTGTGTCCAGGGCAGCTGTCTACCAGCTCCATCTGGTATGCAGGCTGAGACCCTACCTGCCCGCAGACTGTCTCGCCAGAGTGGTGCATGCTCTAGTTATCTCCCACTTGGACTACTGCAATGTGCTCTACGTGAGGCTACCATTGAAGGTGACCAGGAAACTACAATTAATCCAGAAAGCGGCAGTTAGACTGGTGACTGGGAGTGGCTGCCAAGACCACATAACACTGGTCCTGAAAGACCTACATTGGCTCCCAGTGCATTTCGAAGAACAATTCAAAGTGTTGGTGCTGACCTTTAAAGCCCTAAATGGCCTCGGCTCAGTATACCTGAAGGAGCGTCTCCACTCCCATCATTCAGGCCAGACACTGAGGTCCAGCTCCAAGGGCCTTCTGGCAGTTCCCTCACTGCAAGAAGTGAGGTTACAGGGAACCAGGCAGAGGGCCTTCTCTGTAGTGGCACCCGCCCTGTGGAATGCCCTCCCATCAGATGTCAAGGAAATAAACAACTATCTGACTTTTTTTGACTATCTGACTTTTTAATATTCTGTTGGGAGCTGCTCAGAGTGACTGGAGAAAATCAGCCAGATGGGTGGGATATAAAAAATAAATTATTATTATTATTATTATTATTATTATTATTATTATTATTGGTTAGGGATGTTGAGAGCTGCAATCCAATGTCACCTTGTTTCCCACCCCTGTTTTATGGTGCCAAGGGATTCTCTCTGGTTTTGCCTCAGAGATAAACAGGGTCAACATGCCACAAGGAGAGGAAACCAGGCCTGAAGCTGCGGGGACAAGGGGGAGGAACCAGTACCTGAGTCGGGCCTTGCTCTTGGCCACAGCAGTAATACAGTATCGATGCGCTGTGTAGAAGTAGTCCTGGTACGGGATCCCCTGTGTGATCACTTCCGAGTCGACCACGCAGCCCCCGCTCTTGGAGCTGGTACGGAACAGAGTCTGGCCATTGAGCGAGAAAGGGGAGAAGAGAGACTTGTGAGTTCTGCAGTCATGCGTACATTTTACTGAAGGGCAGCCGCCTTAACTTGCTTGCAGCAAACTTAGCAAAGTCTTGTGGCACTTTCAAAGCTTAAAAAAATTATTACAGCATAAGATTCCATGGACTAATGCGTATCTATCTATCTATCTATCTATCTATCTATCATCTATCTCAACACCCACAGCATACATTTAAAACACATTTAACATGCCTAAAGCACATGGTTTCCCCCAAATAATCCTGGGTATTGTAGTTTGTTAAGGATGCTAGGATTTGTGGCTATGTGAGGGGTAAGCTTCAGTTCCTAGGATTCTTTGGGAGAAGCAATGTGCTTTAAATGTATACTGTTGATGTGACTTTATGTAGGTTTAAAAGGTAAAGGTACCCCTGCCCGTACGGGCCAGTCTTGACAGACTCTAGGGTTGTGCGCCCATCTCACTCAAGAGGCCGGGGGCCAGCGCTGTCCGGAGACACTTCCGGGTCACGTGGCCAGTGTGACAAAGCTGCATCTGGCAAGCCAGAGCCACACACGGAAATGCTGTTTACCTTCCCGCTAGTAAGCGGTCCCTATTTATCTACTTGCACCCGGGGGTGCTTTCAAACTGCTAGGTTGGCAGGCGCTGGGACCGAGCAACGGGAGCACACCCCGCCGCAGGGATTTGAACCGCCGACCTTTCGATCGGCAAGCCCTAGGCGCTGAGGCTTTTACCCACAGCGCCACCCGCGTCCCGTATGTAGGTTTAGATGCATACATATTGTGGTACGACGGGGGTAGTAAGCAGTGACAGGACAGGAAATTAAACTGAAGAAATGCAGAGAGTGACGATTCAGAACCATGCAAGGTAAGCCTGGTGACCCTTTATGACAGCAGCAATAGGTGGTAAAACAATGAACTCGGGAAAGAGAGTTAACCGAAATCTGTATAGTGGTACCTCGGGTTACAGACACTTTGGGTTACAGACTCTCCTAACCCGAAAGTAGTACCTCGGGTTAAGAACTTTACCTCAGGATGAGAACAGAAATTGTGCAGCGGCAGCAGGAGGCTCCATTAGCTAAAGTGGTACCTCAGGTTAAGAACAGTTTCAGGTTAAGAATGGACCTCCGGAACGAATTAAGTTCTTAACCAGAGGTACCACTGTAGTGAGAAGGAAGGCCGTTCTCTCTATTCAGAACCAAATGCACCAAGGAGAACTGATCAATGAACTGTGGGCAGGGCCGGCCAACCCATGAGGCAAGGTGAGGCAACCGCCTCAGGCGGTAGGATCCTCAGAGGCAGCAGATCCAAGGAGTGCATCACCTGCTGCTGCTGCTCCTGCTGCTGCTGTGGCAACAACAGTTGTTGCTTCTACAGCAGCCTTTTGATGAAGAGGAGGCATTGGTGGTGCCCTCCCACCCTTGTTCCAGATGTGGATCTTTATTCCTCCCTTATTCCTGATGTACATCTTCACTCGCCCCTTCTTTCCTGGCCAGGGGTGGGGAAGCCATTTTGTGGTTTGCCTCAGGTGCCAAAATGCCTTGGGCCGGCCCTGACTGTGGCGACAAACACAGGCGCAAACCGCCCTGTGCGAAAATCACCACAGAAATGACAATATTTATACAACCAGCAGGGGAATATTTCAGTTTATCTGGATGGTCTGCCACTGATCTTGACTTAGCCACACTGAAGTCAAATAATTTGAAAGGGAAGCTCTGGTGCAAAACTGCTGAGCTACAATTCATCAAGGAGTCCCACTCTTCATTTTGGTCTGAATAGAGGCAATGGCTTTCTTTCTGATATAGATGGTAATTAACTCAGATTGCCAAATGGGATTGTTTTATCACCCGTCATCTCTGGTGCAAAGGGTAACCTTGTTTATCTTGAATTTCACTATCTGTATTTTTTGCATTTTACTTCACTCAGTACAGAAGAATTGCATCTTATGCCTGGGATCAGTTCCAGGGGTTATGTGTACGGTCATCCCCTCCCTTACGTGTGACTGGACTGTGCGCACAGGCAGTGTCGGGAAAGAATTAAATAATTCAATTTAAATCCGGAAATGGTGGGAGAGAGTTGGAGCCTGAAGAGGACGGCAGTGAAGGCGGAGGAAGCCTTGAAGAGACCGGAGGCACAGCGGGGCTTTGTTTACACTGCTCATCCTAACCGCCTAGCAGCTGGGGTGTGAGGTAGCGCAACAACCGCAGCCACTTTTCTGTGCGTCCTCCGGCCTCCTGCCCACCCTAGATCTTCAATTCTGTTTGTGGATATTTTTGGATACAGTATTTTTAGTACGAAGAGAGCAGCAGAGAGGGCATTTAAAGGGTGCTTAGGGGGTGCCCCCAATTTTACGTGATTTCACTTGTGCGCACAGGGCCCTGGGAAGTAACCCCCGTGTTAAGTGGAGGGACACCTGTGTATGTGAAAATCACTCACAGACAAAGAAAACCTGTAGAGCTGACATGTGGATAGCTAGTCAGCCTTCTGTAAGGTGGCTGGTGAGGAAGTAATTCATGCTTGGCACATCCTTTGGCCGGAGGCACGCTGGCTCTCGGAAGTGGTGAGGATCCTCTTGTGAGATCTCATAGGAAGTCAGAGCAGCCCCACCATGCCCAAGAGCCACCGTGCTGCTCGCACGGCACACTGGGGGGGACCTTGCTAGAGAGGAAAGGCGAGGAGCTTAAAAGCACTTTTTGCATGTCCCTACCAGAGAAGAGGGACGCGGGTGGCACTGTGGGTTAAACCACAGAGCCTAGGACTTGCCGATCAGAAGGTCGGCGGTTCGAATCCCCGTGACGAGGTGAGCTCCCGTTGCTAGGTCCCTGCTCCTGCCAACCTAGCAGTTCGAAAGTACACCAAAAAATTGCAAGTAGATAAATAGGTACCACTCCGGCGGGAAGGTAAACGGCGTTTCCGTGCGCTGCTCTGGTTCGCCAGAAGCGGCTTAGTCATGCTGGCCACATGACCCGGAAGCTGTACGCCGGCTCCCTCGGCCAATAAAGCCAGATGACTGCCGCAACCCCAGAGTTGTCCGTAACTGGACCTAATGGTCAGGGGTCCCTTTACCTTTACCAGAGAAGAATGGCAGATCAAGTTGACGGATTATGCCAAAAATGGCTAAAATGACTGGAAGAATCAGAAATCAGGAACACCAAAATTTTAATAAGGAATGGGGGAAATTTATAACTTATCTTAAAGGCTATTGTAAACAGTTAAAATCGTTAGGAGGATTGGAATATCACTTGGAGTTTAATGGTGAATTTTGGATACAATGGAGAGGTAAAAAGTTTGGATTATTATAAAAGATGCAGAAAGAAATGATTAACAATAAGACCCACAAAGGCGAGGAGGGAAGTCCAAGAGATTCCTCGGAATCTTGTTTTTATGTTGTATGTTGGATATGTGACTGTAAAGTTTTATTCTGAAAAAACCAAATAAATAAATAAATAAAAATAAAAAGCTCTTTTTGCACCAGGTAACTCCAAGTGGACCTGGCATGAAAAGAATTTTTGAGCTCTCGGCCTTCCTTCCTTCCAAGGCAAGGCCCACTTGGTGTGCTCTCTGGCTTTTACAAGATCATGCAGGGAATTCCCAGAAGCGAAGCAGGCCTTGCCTGGGACTTCAGACATTTCCCCTCAACCAGACTGCCTTCAAAGTCAAGTCAAATGCACGTAAGGTGCAAGTCAAATGCACGTAAGGTGTAGGTTCACTGTACTTACTATTCTGCCCCCCCCCCCCAGCGCTCTCTGTTTAGTCAACAGTTCTGAGGAAGCAATTGCTGAAAGGCTTTTTGAAATGCAGTCAGCTCGCTATAAGGGCACGCTCCCCTCCCCCACCGTCTTTTTTAAAAAGAAGAAGAAGAAGATGCTTTTGCATATCCACACCTGAGTCTCCACTACAGCTGCAGCCTTGGGGCCTAACGGGTTGGTGATGGGGATTGTGTAGGAGATGACGCGGCTTTGGTGGCACTTGTTGTCGCCAGTCCACGAAGTCAGCGCCACGTCTGCGGGAGAAAAGGGGACATATCAGGAGGAGGAATTCCTTGGTTATTGTGCTTTTGAAAAAAACGGAGTGGGTGGGTGGGTGGGTGGGAAAACAGTATGTGAAAGTTTTAAGATCAATATACAAATCATGCAGTGCTAGGTTTTTAAAGAATCGCTTGCTGCCTGCCCTGTAGGTCCTGAAAGACCTACATTGGCTCCCAGTATGTTTCCGAGCACAATTCAAAATGTTGGTGGTGATATTTAAAGCCCTAAACGGCCTCGAGTATACCTGAAGGAGAGCCTCCACCCACATTGTTCAGCCTGGACACGGAGGTCCAGCTCCGAGGGCCTTCTGGCGGTTCCCTCACTGCAAGAAGCAAAGTTACAGGGAACCAGGCAGAGGGCCTTCTCGGTAGTAGCACCTGCCCTGTGGAACGGCCTTCCATCAGATGTCAAGGAAATAAACAACTATCTGACTTTTAGAAGACATCTGAAGGCAGCCCTGTTTAGGGAAGTTTTTAATGTCTGGTGTTTTATTGTGCTTTTAATTCTGCTGGGAGCCACCCAGAGCAGCTGGGGAAACCCAGCCAGATGGGCGGGGTATAAATAATAAATTATTATTATTATATTATTATTATTATTCTCAGAACATGGAAGTGGCTCCCAAGGATTCCATTTGGAAACTTTCCCCAACACTATCTAAGGATGCTGAGGATTGATCCAGAAACCTTCTGCGTGCAAAACAGAGGCTCTTTGTTACTGAGCTGCGGCCCTCCCTCCTGTAAATTGGGATTGGGACGAAAAGACAGTGTTGCAAAATGGATTTGGGTCTATGCGATGCAGAATGACAGAAATGGGCAGCATCCTTTGTTTTGCAGCTTGAAACATCTGCCCAAACCCTGCTCCTGAACAAGGGAGGATGTAGCTTTGGAGGCGTCCCCGTATCCTCCTTACCTGTGAACTTGCGCTGGTCCAAGAAGCCGTGTATGAACTGGGAGTCGCTGAAGAGCATCTGCTGCAGCCTTTCGGCTCCAACATGATAAACGGTGTTGATGAGCAACCGCCCCGGCAGGTCCGAAAAGAAAGCGTCCACCTCGGCTTGAGGAGAAGGAGAAAAGAGAATAATAATAATAATAATAATAATAATAATAATAATAATAATAATTTATTATTTATACCCTGCTCATCTGGCTGGGTTTCCCCAGCCACTCTAGGCAGCTCCCAACAGAATACAGTCATACCTCGGGTTGCGATCGCAGCGGGTTACGTGTTTTCGGGTTACAGACGAGCTGAACCCGGAAGTACCATAATGGGTTACTTCTGGGTTTCAGCGCTTGCGCAGAAGTGCTAAATCGTGCTTTGCGCATGCGCAGAAGCGCTGAATCACATCACGCACGTGCGCAGATGCGGCACTGCAGGTTGCAAATGCTGCGGGTTCACGTTCGCGACCCGAGGTTCCACTATATTATTATTAATTAATAATAATAATAATAATAATAATGTATTAATGTATTAATAATGTGTTTTATCACATTACATGTATTATTAATAATAATAATACATGTAATGTGATAAAACAATCAAACATTAAAAACTTCCCAAAACAGGGCTGCCTTCAGATGTCTTCTGAAACTCAAGATAATTGTTTGTTTCCTTGACATCTGATGGAATGCTGTTCCACCACTACTGAAAAGGCCCTCTGCCTGGTTCAAGTGCAGCAGGGGCACCGCTAGGTACTTAGAAGAGTCATGGCAAGGGGCCCATAACACAAATTTGCATTTTATCTGCATACAACAATTCACACACACACACACACACACACCATTTAACAGAGAGTGGGTGGAGGAGGCTGCCCTCACCTTCATCTTGCGTTGAGGAGGAAGAATTGCTCATGTCCGTGGGGAGCTCCTCGCTGGGGAGTGGGTCCCCCTCCAGGGGGGACATTGGCGGCCCTTGTGGCAAATCGTCCCTGGGAGGTTCTGTTGCTGAGGTCACTGTGTGGCTGGAAGAGGCATCCACTTGGCTGTCAGTGTTCTCATCTGGGTCCTCTGCCAGCTGGAAGGAAGTGGATGGGCACACTTAGCGACACACTTGAGGAGTTTGCTCTCTTTCGAGTGGGCAGAAGATTCTCCAAATGTTCCCCAAACATGGGAATACTGGCTGCGTATTTGGCATTAAGCATCAGCACCTGACATCTGGGGGGACGGGGGACGGGACAGCAGCTGGTGCCTGGTGGTATTTTGACAGCTTGCATGCAACAGAAGTCAGGATGGCATGCAATGGAATGTAGTACAGCTAACTTTTTGTACAGCTGCAAATCTAACGCAGATCATGGAATCCTACATACTAATAGCAAGCATGCTCTTTGGGAACCTATCCATCCTTATGTACCCAAAATGCAAAATCCATGCAGAGATATCAGGGGTTGGGGGACACAGCTAAGAGAGGAATGAGCTTGCTCAGTGCTGCAGAACAGCGACTGATGCTGGAGAGTGTGAAAACGGAAAACCGAGGAGGAGTGGAAATGGAATGGAGTACCTTGGAAAAGGGCATGGCTGGCTAGCTTAAATCTTGAGCAGCTGCATTGAGCAGTAACAATTTCTTAATAGTTCGGCTTCCCTACCTCTACTAAAACTCATGTATCACCTGTGTAATCCTGACAATCATTTTTCTGTTTCTGTTGTTTGTTTGTTTTTTAAATATTTATCATGACTGCTAACAAGTTTTATTGCGGCACCTGATAAAATGGACTCTAGCCCATGCTCTAGGTAGCACGTGAGCCCTTTTTCTTACAGGCTCAGAGCATATCTAAACTACAAGCACATCAGTTGTAAACCAATCTTAGCCTCACGGCTTCATGCTAAAGAATCCCAGGAACTGTAGTTAGCAAGAGTGCTGGCCATTCTCGAGACAAATTCCCTAGTTCAGTTTCCTTTTAAGGGGAGGGAATGTGTTCTGAAGTAGTTCAAAAGCCTGTCATTTTCCTGAAACGTCTTACATTATCGGAAAGTAAAATCACAAAACTATTTTAGCAGGAAGTGTTTAGGTACGTCAACTTCGTATTGAGGGCTCCCTCTAGATGTTATTCTTGGACATTTCCCAGCTCTGTAGGGCTTGACTAAACAACAATTACAGATACAGAGAGAGAGTCTTTTTGGTCGTGAAAAAAGCAATCTCACAGAACTGGACTTCTAAAAATACTCCAGATCTTGAAACATTTATCTGTTTTGGCAGCAAGCAGGGAAGGAATGGTTTTATTACGTGAGATAAAATCCCTTGATCTGATTTAATTTGCACTCATTTCCTGGACATGTTTTATTTTAATTAGTGAGGAAACTTTCCACGGTCCTCCACTTGCCTCTTCTTACACCTTTACTTGTATTTCAAGCTTCCTCAAGGAACCATTCCTTTGTTGCCTGGGCTACAGCAGAACCCTTGCGTGTCGCAGAGCATTCTGGGGGAAGATTCCAGAATGTTCTCTGCTGCTCCAGAGACCAGTGGGTGGGAAACACAGAGGGGCAGATTTTGGCAAAAAGGTACGAGGAGAGATGTTCAAATGGTGACTCATACAGACTTCAAAAGCCCCCATATCTGAACCCCGCCATCCTCACCGAGGTGGTCCCGTCACTACTGCTGGCCAGCGAGTTGATGCTCTGACTGGCGTCCCTTTTGTCTAGGAGGGGGCTGGTGTCCAGCTTGAGGTCCGTGCTGCAGCGGGAAGTCAAGTCGCTCAGGTCAATGACATCCCCAGTCTCTTTGGGGCTTCTGTTGGAAAGAAGAGCCAGGGAAATGTAGAGACGAGGAGGAGGGAGGGTTCAAAAAGAAGCCCCGGGCGAGAAAGGCTGGCCTAAAGAAGGAGTCAGAATGCACAAGGGCCCCCACCCATATCCACAATCAACTTAGTCGCAACTTCAGCCACTGGGTGGGGCTGACTCAGCATTCCTGAGCCTGGGTTCGCCAACTTTTTTGGGGGCCTATGGGCACATTTGCAAACTGGAGGAACTGTTGGGAACACCACACACCAACACAGACTGCAACGTATTCTACTGAAGGGAGTGGCAGTCCAGCAAAGCCTGGAGGGCCACAGGTTGCTCTACATAAAGGGTGTGTGAATGCTCTCTCTCTTGTGCACACATTTTTCGGCTGTGGCTCCAATCTGGTGGAACGCTCTGTCACAAGAGACTAGGGCCCTGCGGGACTTGACATCTTTCCGCAGGGCCTGCAAGACAGAGCTGTCCCGCCAGGCCTTTGGCCAGGGCACAGCCTTTGGCAATCCTCACAGAACTCTAGCCCAATGGATGCCATTAATTTGATTTGAACTGATTTTATAATGAAATGATTTTAGAATGTTGTATTATTATACTATTGTCAGCCGCTCTGAGCCCGGCTTCGGCTGGGGAGGGCGGGATATAAATAAATTATTATTATTATTATTATTATTATTATTATTATTATTATTATTATTTTCTTGGGAGAGAGGGAAGAGACTTTCTTTTACAAGTGAGAATGTGGGCAATGCTCGGACCACACCTTGATTCAAATTTGGTAGGGCCTCTTGGAAGGGGGATGAGGCAAAACTGCTGCCCAAGCACCCCCAGGTAAGAGGCTTGGAGCAAACAGAACTAGGAGAAGGATCCCTGCCTGAGACTTTGAAGAGGTGCTGCCAATCTGTGCAGCCAGCACTGGGCTAGGTGCACCCATTAGCCTGACTCAGTAGAATGTAACCTTGCATTTTATCCTATCTCCCCTGGCATCCTTATAGTTACAATGCAGTCAGGGTGGGGGCGCATTATGGTGTCTGCAGGGCAGTGTACACTCACCCCAAACCGTTGATCTCATCGATGGGAGAGACGTAATCATCATCCTCACTGGTGAGGCCAAGTTCAGAGCCATAGCATTGGTGGACAATGTGCCAGAGCTCTTGAGGGGACAACGTCTGGGAAGAGAGCACAGCATTAGAAAAAGGACTGCAGTTGAAGCGCTTGGATGAACAGGGCAAAATCAGTCCAGGCTTATCTGTTTAGTCCTGACACAGATACATGCAACACATACCCCCCCCCTCCATACAGTCTAGAACCCAACATTAAACATCTGGCTCCTATTTTCAGAAACTGGGCAGAGGCTTCACTCACACAGAGACAGGGACATACAAAAATAAATAAATATGGCAAGATCTGGAACTCCAGCGCTGAAATATAGCAAGGACTGAGCTTCAAGCTGCCATATCCTAGGTTGTTTCTGCAGGAGCAATGGGTCTGTTCTTACCTTATCCAGGAGCGTATTCTGCCAGAGGCGGAAGATCAGCATGAAGCAGCGGTCACGGGCCCCGAATGAGGTGAAGAAATGCTGGGAACAGCCAGTGAAAAGAGAGCCTGAGATCAGTGCCCCAAGATCAGTGGGATCAAGGTGAGCATTCATAGCTTCTACCTACAGGTTGTGTGCATGTTGTCATTGCACAGCAGGGCTGAGGAACCTGTTCAGATGTTGTTGGGCACCAACTCTCATCACCTGTGGCCACTGACCATGCTGGCTGGCACTGCTGGGAGCCCAACAACACGGGGAACCCAGTATGGAGGGCTGATAAAAGTGCAGAAAGCAAGTGTTGGTATCATCACCTATCAACCTCAAAGTTTTGCTTTGCTTGGATTTTCCTTTGCAATACTGCTTGCCATGCGACATTGGGGTGTGTGTGTGTGAATGAGTCAACATGATACCATTTGATCAGACAGGTTATGGGGGTCCATTCACCTGCCAAAATGGCCCACCAGGGATCGGGGATCCCAGGATCTGGCCAGCCAGCCTATGTCTTTGTCTCATCTCAATGTCATTATCAAAGTTCACCCTCTTACTAGCCACACTTGTGCTCTGGACTAATTGCCTGCAATGATTACATCCTGATAGCTGTCTATCAACAGTTGATAAGGTCAGTTAGAATCCTGAGATCCACAGAGCGCATGAAATGAACGAGACTTCCTGCAGAAGGTGGTGGACTCTCCTGCCTTGGAGGTTTTTAAGCAGAGGTTGAATGATGATCTGTCAGTAATGCTTTAGTAGAGATTCCTGCATTGCAGGGGGTTGGACCAGATGATCCTTGGGGTTCCCTTCCAGCTCTACGATTCTACGATTCTACTGTTAAGTACAACAGAAGCAATTAAATGCTATTAAGAGGCAACTAGCTCACATGAACTGTTCCAGAGGCACACCCGAGAGTCACCCGATGTTCTTTTCCCTTTTGCTTTCGCGGGGCATTGCCCCTCTAGCTGAGATAACGTATCAGAAGCAGGGGACATAGGAGATGTCTAGGAAAATAAAAGGCTGCACAATCTGCAGAGATTAATCTCTGCGGAGCACAGCCTGTCCAGACACTGATAAAACTTTAGCTGAAGGGTGGGGTGAGGAGGACGGGAACTGTTGGGTCAGGGTGCAAACCGGCAACTGTGGGCTGGAGGTGAGGCCTAGGGCAAAGCTCACTCGTGCATCTTTGCCCCAAGCTATGAGCTTGTTTTGAACAGGAGGAGGCAACAAGGCTCATCTCTCACGTCCTGTGCCCTTGTGCTTCTATGTTTGCTGGGGCACAAAGGTTAGCAGGACGCGGAGCACACAGATGCGATTAGGATCATATCCACTGGCATGAGATTCACACTGAGAACTAAAGTCCAAGCCCTTAGGGAGGCAGGTCAGAGGAGGAGGAGGAGGAAGAGGAAGCCAAGGGCAAGGCACTTCCTAACAGCTCCCCTTCACAGCTCCAGACACCAGGTTTTCCTCATGCACATGTGCACTCATGCACAGCTTCAAAATGGCCATTGGAAACTTAGTAATGTTGGGAAGGGCACCATGACCGGAACTGTGCAAAGCAAGCTGCAACTATCCCACAGGGAGCAAAATATCAGCTGGCACAGGGGTGAGCCGCCTTCCACCTTACCAGGTGGGAACACAGCTCAGTGGCAAAGTGCAAGCTTTGGCTACAGAAGGTCCCTGGCATCTTTAGAAATAGCAGGTGGGAAATATTATTGGATTGGCTGGCCAGCAAACACCCCCCATGGGCAAACACTGACAAGTAGATGGTGCTACCACAATGTTCACCATCTGATGTGACTGACAGGTAGGTGGTTCCGCCCACCGGTCAAAGTTGACCTGCAGGGTGCGCGTGTGGAGATAGAGGTCTTACTTAAGTTTTGCATGCCGCATACCGCCTCACTGTATTTTGGTGGAAGCGTGGCCTGTGACTATTTAAATAAATAATATAACAGCGTGTTATAACGTTTACAAAGCAAGAACGTACGCTGAAGATCTACAAACAGCTACAACCCAAGAAATCTGTATTCGGTGATCCTAGAGAACTGCATTCTTGGCTTAAGAATTTTAGAAATTATTATTGTCTGCTAAATGTCTACACCACCCTTCGTCCGAAGATCACTAGAAATGCCCAGCTCGATCACACCAAGGCCTACCTAGCCTAGAATTATCTGCAACAATCCCAGCTGCTTCACCAGAATTGGCTACTGGTCCTTTCCCGTTGGCCACTGTAGGAGACTCGAAAGATCTTTGGCCTGATCCAGTACGTGCCTCCTTTTATGTTCTAGGCACCTGGAGAGTCACAGGTTCCCCAGTCCAGATCTGGAATGTGCATAACATGGGAGTCAGCCCAAAGCACACACACACACACACACACGGCTCACCTTCTCGGTCTCTGTGCAGATCTGAATCGCGTTGGGGATCAGCTTGGCCGTCTTCTCCTTCCTGATGCACTTCACCTCCTTCAGCTGGATGGAGATCTGTTGCAAACGAGCAACACAACAGGGATCAGCGGCAGCAGGGAGGAAGGCAAAGGGGCTCGCCTGCGTACCTGACCCATCTCTCCCCAGGCTACCTCGCCAAGGCACTCACCGTGGTCTCCCATCGGAAGATGTTGCTGTAGAAGCAGATCCAGTTCTCCGATAGGTAAAGCCGCCCTTGAAGCAAGATGTCACGCTGCAGCGCACAGGAGTAATCTGAGGAGAGGGGAGACGTCAGCTGCTGAGAGCAAGTGTTTGGGTTCAAGGCAGAGTCAGGGGGGGATTGGGGGAACAGCAGCAGGTTTGTGGGGAGACCAATCCTGTTGATAAGGGGGATGAAGGCCACAGCTGCTGGGCACCGACCCAGTGTTTTTTATTTTTTATTTGCTTTTCTGTTACAATTCAGCATTAATACATAAACTGTTACATTCAAAAAGAAATAATAATAAGAGTACATCTTTTCATACACTTCCCTCGCCCTCTTTCCATGGTTTCCTATCTATTCCCCACCTATCCACGTCTTCTTGATCTTCTCAGTTTTCTCTCCCTCCCTCTCCTTATCTCAGGATATAACGTGAGTTATTCTCACCCTGCTAGGTTAATTATCTTGCTATAATGGTTTTTCATATAGTCTAATGTCCAATCCTCCTTGAACCTTTTATCATCTCAATTTCTTATTATGTCAGTCATACCAGCTAATTCCGCGGATCCCGGCAGTTTACGCTGCCACTCATCTTTTGCGGCTCTGTTTTCATTTCATTTTCCAAAGTATATTGCTCAGTCTCACTGTTTTATTTTGGGGTAGGTTGCAATCACATAAAAACACAGTGACGCAGCGACTAAAGAAGCAGTAACAAAACAGATGCAAAGCTTGGTTAAAAACAGCCCACGTCTCTAAAAAGTCTAGGTGAAGAAGAAAAAACTGGTGCCTAAACAGTAACAAAGAAGGCATCGCCTCATTTCAAAGGGAGCTCCCCATGTGAGGCTCAGCAACCAGAAACGCCCTCTCTGTGGTCACTCCCCTGCCTCACATCTGATGCTGGCGCACCCAGGGGAGCGCGTGGGCAGGTGACCTCCATTTACTGGCAGGTTGATATGGGAGCAGTCAGTCCTTTAGAGCACTTATTCTAGAGACAGGACATCAGAATGGCTGCAGGTGACTAAACAGGACATTTCAAACCCAGAGGCTTTAACTGATTTAATAGTTGTTCCATTGTTCTGTGGATAAAGGACAATAATTTTGTGAAGGACTCTCTAACCTAGGAGTGGGGAACTTACTTTCTGCCAAGGGCCACGTTTCCTCAGCGGTAATGTGCTGGGAGCCATGTGCTGGCAGTGGTTAGGACTATGGCAAAAACTGGGTGCGACACCCCTTTTCTCCTTCGGCAACCCCTTTCTCGTTCTCTCCATCACTCCCCTTTCCCTTTCCTTATGCCACCTCTTCTCTCCCCCTCCCTTTCTCCCTCCCTCCCTCCGTGTGTGTGTGTGTGTGTGTGTGTGTGTGATCCCATTTTCCCTGCCTCTCTCCTTTTCCCCATTTCCCCCTTTCTTGATACCCACATGAAATTAGGCTAAGGGTTGCATTTTAAAAAACACACACACAACTCCCAGCATCTTCATCAAACTACAGTTCTCCGGTGTCTTGGGGAGCAAGTCTACTCTAGACCATTAAACTGGCACTAAGCTCATTTGTAAGCTTTTTTGTGCTGATTGGCACAAAGAGGCTATTTATGAGGTGTCCAGAAATAGGAATCAGCAAGCCTGCTAGTGCAGAAAAAAGATATGTAGGAGAGATCAGGCTGTGAATAAAGCGGGGGTGTCACAATGAATTTCTCTTCCAACCTGTGAACGGGGCCAATTGGATCTATACTTACAGACGGGGAGGGTAGGGGCTAATCAAAATTCCAACTATAATTCCTTTATACATTTTGACAGGAGTGGAATCCTTACGCAGGAAAACTTAAAGGATGGACAGGAAAGACAAGAGAACCTAAAATGCGAGAAACTGCAAGGAAACCTCTCTCGCATCCTAATCATGACAAATACGAAATTAGAAAAGAACACGTTCTACAAAATGATCTCTCTCACACAGCCAAAGGCTAGAGCCTTCAGAGACTAACTGCCTTTGAATGTGCATTATGTCAGGCGGGCTTAAGTTTGCACCCTAGTTCTGGGCCAAGAGAAGTGAAGCGCACAATCTTGTACAATTTTTAAAAATGCCACTCAGGTAATAATATTGCAAGGGTGAAATATATTTCAATTTGCACTTAAAAACAACAACAAAACCATTCATCTCCCCTCCCTTGCACACAATGGGACAAATGGATTTTGCCCTCCCTGTGCTTTCAAATTCTCCAGAAATTGTAACTCTGCACAGAGAAGCATCAAACCAGTTCTCAAATAAGTCCTTGGTCTCATCATGCATTTAAAGCATGTTGCTTCCCCCCAGAAAATCCTGGGAACTGCTGTTTGCTAAGGGTACTGGGGACTGTCATGTGCTTTAAATGCATGCTGTGGCTGTCAACAACTCTGATCTCCTCTATCATCTACTACTCTGATCTCCATCTATCATCTACTGCAGCAGAGAGCCTGTGAAAGCCCTCGATAAGTTGCTGACCTCACATCTTCCTTGGCCCCATGGGGACTGATGGGAGTTGGAGTCCAGCAACACCTGGAAGGCCACTACAGGCTCCCCACCCCAGCTCAACACTATCAACGGTTACACGTAGGCTGGCCGATACACCTCATTCACCACCCACTTTGGATCCCTCCATTTGGCATAGCCTCCCTGCACCGCCCATCTCCTCCTGTCTCTCACCTACAAGAAGCCGCTCCGTTTCAGGCAGTCCCTTGAAGATCCTGCGAAAATCCTCGTTGCGCTGCTTGTACGTGGGGCTCAGCATCTGCCAAAGACAGCCAGGCCCTTCAGGATGGAAGCGTTCCCTTCCTGTCCCTCCCACGGCCCAAGAGGCACCCAGCTCAGACCCTCGGCCCAAGAGGCACCCAGCTCAGAAGAATACTATCTATGCCCACTTCCAGCACCGTGCAGGGAGCTGGAGGCAGGAGCCTTTGGTTTAGCAGGGCCATCCTATGGCATGGGAGAAGAGAGCAGCTGGGGTGACATTTATTTTCCCATCAACAGCCTTGGCCCAGTATACACAAAGGAGCATCTCCACCCTCATCATTCAGCCCGGACACTGAGGTCCAGCTCCGAGGACCTTCTGGCGGTTCCCTCACTGTGAGAAGTGAGGTTACAGGGAACCAGGCAGAGGGCCTTCTCGGTGGTGGCGCCCGCCCTGTGGAACACCCTCCCATCAAATGTCAAGGAGATAAAGAACTACATAACTTTTAGAAGACATCTGGATGCAGCCCTGTATGAGGAAGTTTTTAATATTTGACATTTTACTGTTTTTAAATATGTGCTGTAAGCTGCCCAGAGTGGCTGGGGAAACCCAGCCAGATGGGCAGAGGATTATAACCACCACCACCACCTTAGAAAAAGAATGCCACTCTTCCTACAAGGAGCTACGAACAGTATACACAGGCCTCCCTATTTTATTCTAACAACCCTGTGAGGAAGGTTAGGTTGTGAGATTGGATGGCTCAAGCCCACCCGCCTGTGGCTCACAGCTGAGTGAGGATTTCAACCTGGCTCTTTCCTCTATTTTAAGTCCAGCACTCTAACTACTAAACCACACTGGGGCTGTGTAATTAGCGGCATAAAACACAGCAGAGGTCCTTATTTTCCTCAGTTTGGATCAAAGCTGGTTTGGGGGAGGGGGTGAACAGATCAAAAATGCAGTATTTCGTAAGAAACAAGGGGGGTGGATAGATAAGGCTTGTGGCTAACCTCATGCACACACCACTTCCCAAACCTGGGGTGGGAGTACACTAGATGCAGAGTAAACAGGAGTGTGTACACAGCCTTGCTATCTGAGGCTGCAGAGACCTGCTGGTTGGAGTGGTGGGCCTGGGTGGGGGTGGCAACTGATAACCTCAGGGGATGGGCAAGACGAGGTGGACAAAGGGCCCCAGAGATTACAGAAGAGCTTCAGGAAGGAAATGCAATGCACTGCAGCCAAGCCAAGCTGTTTAGGGCTTGATGTAGTAGAAGGAAGAGAGAGGAGCAAGGCAAGACCAGGCTGTTTTAAGCTGTGTACACAGACCCAGTGTGGTGTAGTAGTTCGACTACACGCACCCTGGAGGTAAAGAAGCAGAACAGAGGAAGGAGGGAGGTGGTGGGGTGCTAAGCAAAAATCAAGAGAAGCAGGAAAAGCGAGGCATCTCACTTACTCTGTCCAGAGGGAGCGTCTTAACCCAGGGAGCAAGGGCAGCAGGCGAAGGAGGTTTCCAAGCAGCATCAGCGTGGGTTGCAGGGTGTGTGTGTGCGCGCACGCAAAGGAAGACAGCAGCAGCGCTAGATTCAGAAAATTCAGCAAACGCACTGGCACAAGAATGGACAGGTTGCAGCGCGGGGTGGAGAAAGGGCAGCGCGCCAGCACAGCGAAGAAGGCAAGGTGCAGGATTGGTGCGATACCATCAGCCCAGAAAGCGGGGGTGGGTGGGTCAAGAACGGGGCTGACAGTGGAAAGGGGGGGGGGCGGGGAGCGTGGCTGGCAAAGTGTCAGCGGAAGGATGGGGTTAAAACAGCAGAAGCACAAAAGAGGAAGATCGGAGAGGAGAGGGAGGGAGCAGGCTGGGACAAGGGGGGTGGGGTTCTCGCAGGCGCCCCGAGGGTCATGGAAAGTGCTCGGGAGGAGGTCGGGGCGTGCTTCCTTTTCCGCAGGGGTCGGATCCCGAAGGGGAGGATGTGCAGAAGGGCCGGGGAGGAAGTAAAAGTGGGGGCGCAGAGGAGCTGGGGAGAGTGAAAGGAGGGCGGCGGAGGAAAGTTTCTGGAGCCCATCGAAGACGCGGAGAGGCCTCCCCCAGGGACAGCTCCGCAGCTCCTGTTACACCGCCCAGCCATTGGCTGCGGGTGCCTGGGTGTCACTTACAGGAAACAAAAGGGGGCTGGGTGTCAGGCTGCAGTTAACCACCTCCTGCCCACGTGGGGGACTCTGCCCCCGGCGAAGGGGAGGCGACCTCCGCCGGCCCGCCTCAACCCCGGCGCACCGCTTCACTTCTGAAGAATTCCTCTTCCGGAAGCCGTTGCAAAACACACGGAGAGATAAAACTCAGCGGCGAGGGATTCACGCTCTGCACGTGCGCAGAGACACCGTCTTGGTCTTTCCCTATGTATTACTAGATTCCCGTCGGCCTGGTACTGAAAACGAGATTCCGAGGCTGAGCCTTCCTTCTTCGCTCGAAGGATTTTTTAATCTTGCCCCCTAGAAAGGTTCCCAGGGCAGCTTACCCAAAGAAGTAGGAAGAGTGATAAGAAAAAATAAGACGCCGATTAAAAGATTAGGTACGAAACTCGGCAGCGGCAAAGGCAAAACGGGTTCGATCCGCGTATGGGGCTGCGGCATATTCCTGCATTGCAGGGGGTTAGACTAGATGACCCGCAGGATCCCTTCCAACTCTAGGATCCTGTGATTCCCTGCCATGCCCTCCACATCCGCTGCTCTTTGTTCTACGCTTGCTGCCAAAGCAGAAAGGGAAATATATATATATATAAAATTAAAGGGCAGAAGCAACTTACCTATAAGATTGGGGGAGGGAGGAATAAGAGATAATATTGCCACATCCCGCAGTCTTGTCTAGCTAACCCTTGTTCCCCACCACCAGCCATGCCCCTCCCCAGTGCTTTTTTTCTTAAAATGAAATGTTTAGGGGTACTCTCATTTTCCTATTTATTGCAATAATGCCCCTCAGTGAGGCCAAACTTAGATTCACAAAATGTTTAGGGGTATGCGACACCCCAGAAAAAAAGCACTGCCCCTCCTCTTTGCCACCCCTCAAATGCTTGTGCATTTCATTCAATGAGACTAGCCAGATCTGCTCATGGAGCAGAATGGGGAGTGGGCTGTACCACTGCAGGCAGGGGTACATTTGCACACCTCACATTTTAATGTCCCTACATTTCAGTGGGGGAGGAATATGCCACAGCTAGAAATCTACCATATCAATGGTACAGAAAGGTTCTTAGCCAGTCCTCTTCCCTGCTGTGCTAGGTTTCCAACTGCAAGGAGCATTTGTTTGTTTACATACTCAGATTATTCCCATGCCTGCGGTCTATGAAAAAGTGCTCATCGTGATTAAAACATGGCTTGGGAATATAAATAGACTCCCAGTTTAAAGCGCTGATTTATTTCCTACACTGCCTTTTAGGTTCCAGGATATCCTCTCCCTCCCTCGGGTTCGAATCCCCACTCAGCCATGAAGGGTCACGGGGTGAATTTTGAGCCAGTCACAGCAACCTTTCTGCCTACCAACCTCACAGGGTTGTTGACAGGATACAAATGGAAGGGGGAGGAAAGACTGCAGGCACTGCCTTGAGCTACAAGGATGAAGGGATGCAAGATGCTGATTCAGGGCACAAAGGACAGGGCTTTAGGGCAGACATCCAACAGGGATGAATTATGATGTGGGGCAGCTAGGACCTAATTTAATAACAACACTGCCCACTGGGGTCCCAAATCTAGATTCCTCTCCCCACCACCACCAATGCTGGGGTTGCAGCGCTCATCTCGCTTTACTGGTCAAGGGAGCCGGCATACAGCTTCCGGGTCATGTGGCCAGCATGACTAAGCCGCTTCTGGTGAACCAGAACAGCATGCGGAAAACGCCGTTTACCTTCCCACCAGAGTGGTACCTATTTATCTACTTGCACTTTGACGTGCTTTCGAACTGCTAGGTTGGCAGGAGCAGGGACCGAGGAAGAGGAGCTCACCCCGTCGCGGGGATTCGAACCGCCAACCTTCTGATCGGCAAGTCCTAGGCTCTGTGGTTTAACCCACAGTGCCACCCGCGTCCGCAATGCTTGTTATTTACACTTTTAAAAAAGAATAATCTTTTGATTGCTATTTGTGTGAACGGTGTCACATTTAGAGTGGCCGTAAAACTTTCATAAGACAAGGAACTACAATCGTTGTTAAGTAAATATTACTTAACGGTAATATTTACTTAATATGACTTAGTATTCGTAGAGTTTCTTTGTGAACCAAGGCTTTTGGCGCAGTGACACCAAGGATCGAGAACACTGTTCCTATTGAAACCAAGCACTTGCCATCCGGATATTTCATCACCAAATGGAAATGTATTTGTATCGCCAAGGACTTTTCATAGGATTAATGTAACTCAGTACTGATCTATGTGTACAGTGTTCTATGATTTTGTAATTGCAGTTTTACGACGTTTCAATTATCTTATTGTTCAGTGCTTTGATTTTGATTTTTTTTAATGAGCTGGTGGTTTTTAAATATACTTTAAAAATAGTAATGGGGGAGTGGAGGAAGTAAAACCATGAAAGCAAACCCATGAAATGCTGACCACACTACTCCAAAGGCTTTGGGCTGAAATCCTAATCACACATATTAGGGAGCAAGTTCCATTGAACTTAATAGGGCAAACCTCTCAGTAAACAAGCACAAGGGAGAAAGTTCATTAGGGTTGCCATACGGACGGATTTCCCAATGTCAGAATTAGCATCCGGAGGGATTTTTGGAAAATCAGCAAAAAAAAGTTCAACAACTTTTTGTGTTGATATTCACTTCTGGAATTATGGCTCTAATCCTGAGGCACATACACTCAGAAGCTGGTCCACTATGGGGCTTACTTCTTAATAAATGCCATGTTTAGTGTTGCAGTCTTACAAACGTATACACCAGGCATAGGCAACCTCGGCCCTCCAGATGTTTTGGGACTACAATTCCCATCATCCCTGACCACTGGTCCTGTTAGCTAGGGATCATGGGAGTTGTAGTCCCAAAACACCTGGAGGGCCAAGGTTGCCTATGCCTGGTATATACTGGTATACACACAATTTCCCTCAAAGGACCCTGGGAACTGCTGCTGAGTTAAGGGTGCTGGGAATTGCAGCTCTCTGAGGGGTAAACTCCCATTCCCAGGATTCTTAGGAGGAAGTCATGTGTCTTAAAATTACAGTGTGAGCGCAGCTTTAGTCACAAATAACTTTAAGTGGCATGAAGGCCGTGAACTGAGATGCATGCCCTTTCCAGCTCTCTCTTTTTGGATGGATATCAGAAGGGCCTGCCTTTTCATACGCTGGCAATATTGCTGTGCACTTTTAATAGCTTCTTAACGGCCCAAAGCTGGAGGCGTTCTATTCTTGTGTACACCCCAATGGAAGAACAAAAATAACAACTTACACTGTACCAGCTCTGCATTTTCTGAAAGAGAGAAAAGAGAGAGTGTGTGTGTAAGCCACATGTTAACCTGGGGTGATGAACTTTTTTTCAGCCCAAGCATCACATTCCCTTCCGTGCAACATTTCAAGGGCCACATGCCAGTGGTGGGCGGGGACACAGGCAAAAGTGGGCAGATTAACTAATGTAAAGTTTGCCTTTATGCAGTAAGGCAATTCCTGCACACAGTTGCCCACCCCTCTCTATCCTCCATCCAAGCATGTTCAAGGACACATCCGGGACAGACAGAAACACAAAGTGGGAGGACAAAACAGGGCCAATGAGGGGTGGGCTTCAATCAGGAAAGGGCCAATGTTCAATTTTATGCATGTCCATTAATTTTAATTACGAAAGTATTCATTACACAGGTATAAGATGTAATTAACTTTAGTGTTTTAATTTCTGGTGTATGAAGAGGAGCAGGGGGAAGCCACCTTGTGCTAACAGAAGTCCTTGCACTGGTTTATGCTAGTTGAATACAGCCTAATAATTTTAAAAGAAAACCAAACAGGGGCCAACTAAACAACTAAATCTGGGTGCCCAAGTTGAAAAGGCCTTTTCCCTTGTTCCACCAACCAAACCTCCTTCGGTGCTGGCACCCTAAGAGCCACCTCAGAAGCTGAGCAGAGTTCCCCAAACAGGTTCACCTTCTCTCATCTCCCGCCACACATGCCCCCACCCATTCTACCTTGTTATTACGGATGAAGCTGCGCCCACTGAGGGGGTAGTTCAGTGGGGTGCTGGGCGGGTGCACTGGTTGAGGGGTCCGTTCTGCTGCATTCTCTGAGCCTTTCTCCACCATGGCTTCCGGGGTCAACTCTGGAGGAGGTCGTGGCGGCAACTGCAACAAGCGCTTCCTCAGGGAAGGGGAGCTGCTTGGGGTCGTACGTGGGGATGTGGTGCCTGTGCTGGAAGGAAGCAGGGAGGCAATTATGAGCCAAGGCCCCGATTTAAACACTACCATTCCCAAGTTGCCCAGGAACAAAACTCAAGATGATTTCTATGCCCTTGTTTGCTTTAATCCGCAGCATTCCCCACCTTGGTCCTTCTAACCCTCTATCTTGCTTTCACCCTCCAAGCAACATCCAGCTCACATGTAACCCTTAAGAGGACCTGTGTCTTTAAGAGTTGCGGAGAACTGAATGTATTTATCAGGAAGGACAGATCCTGAAGCTGAGGCTCCAATACTTTGGCCACCTCATGAGAAGAGAAAACTCCCTGGAAAAGACCCTGATGTTGGGAAAGATGGAGGGCACAAGGAGAAGGGGACGACAGAGGACGAGATGGTTGGACAGTGTTCTTGAAGCTATGAACATGAGTTTGACCAAACTACGGGAGGCAGTGGAAGACAGGAGTGCCTGGCGTGCTCTGGTTCATGGGGTCACGATGAGTCGGACACGACTAAACGACTAAATAACAACAATCATTGAGTGCATTTATTTCCCATTTGTCCTGCATGGACCTCAAGATGGCATACAGAGGAGTTCTAAGCAGAGCCAGGCCTGCCTAGCACCCTCATCAAGGTGGCTGCAGCCACTGCCATATCTTGCTGGGATTCCAAAAAACCAACAACCTGCCGCCATTCAGTTTCTCCCATCACTGCAGGACTATGGATGCTTCCAGAATGGGGAGATGGGGCCTTCATTTGCAAACGGGTCACTGAGAAATATCTCAATGGTTGCTGGCAACGCATTGTGGTGGTGGTTACTCAGCGCTTTTTTTCCTAAGAAAAATGTTTAGGGGTACTTTCATTTTGACTCAAAACCATCATTTTATAGTTCATATCAGGAAAAATAAATATAGTAAATGAACAAAAGTACAAAGATTCACAAAATGTTTAGGGGTATGCGTATCCCTGCGTACCCCCCAGAAAAAAGAACTGTGGTTACTCATCAGAAAGGATATAACCCAGATTAAATGACCAAAAAAATACAGGCTGGTGTTTTGATGCCAAAGACATCTGGTGAATATTACAAAAAAAGGTGGGGGGAGCTTTCCATGCATGAAGAGTACCCGTCTCACAATGAACACCCGTCTTGGAGCACCCTATAACAGGAAAATCCATATTCTCTGTACTATTGAACTTTTAAAGACACAGAAACCGTCTCTGCAGCTTAACAAGTTTCAAAGTTGGGTTTCTTGGTTTTGTTTTTTCATTTCCTGTCCGGCAGAAGCTATTACTAGAGCAGAGGAAATGTAAACAGGAAAGCTCCCAGCTCATGAGAAGAAACAGGATCCTAATCCCAGAGTCAGGTCACCTGAGGAAACGCCAGAGATTCTAAGAGACACTCAGAAGGGGAGTGAAGAGCAAACTGGAGTCAGATTTGTGGGCAAACCACCCTCAGCTAAGGACCCAGTTTGTATAGCAGACCAGATACTCTCCTTTCCAAATCCACGCTGTACGAAATAATA